TCTGCATGCTCTGGAATATGGGAATACTGCATCAATGCAACAATGACAAGTATGACTTTGAGGCACAAGAAAATTAAAGATATTTATCAAAGTATTTTCATCTCTTTGGAGAAAATGGTTATTGCTGAGTTACCATGCTACCTGAAACAAGCTCTTGCTGGATTTAAGCWAAGTATTACAAGTATCACATTCCTCTGTTTTCTGTGTAGCTTGTCTTCTTGGGAAATAACCATGCTTTTATCTTTTTTTTAGATAATGGGTTTTTATCCTTCATTCCACTATTAGCATCATGTTACTACATAAAAAGTGATTTAAAGAGGAATGTTTTTATTCAAAGTTTGTTTTCTTTTGAATATCTGATAACGAGTWTAAAGTGTCTCAGTGCTGTACCTAAGCCATCTAGTAATATCAAAACAACAGCTCAGTTTGATCTGAATTGASTGCTTTGTAAGCAAATAAAAGGTATTGTCATTGGCTTTGGTGCAATAGGCACAGCTGGATAAAGCACAATGCACTTTCAGGGATCTGCTGACAGATATGGGGGTATGAGGGGGAAGAAGCAGCTGTGCAGACCCTTCCTCGAGCTCCCTGTGGAGAATGCAAGAATGCTGGACCAGAGTTTGGCTGGGTGTCAGTCCAGCTGTCAAAGCAGAGGCAGAGTCCCCTGGGATCTGCAGCAGCAGTTTTGTGCTCTCTTTCAACATTGATAGACTTGGCATTGCCCTCACTAGCAGCACTACTTCACCCAAGCACCTCCCAGGCACAAACAGGCTTAATACCTATTTAATGTCAGAGCAAAGGACAGGGTCAWGGTCCTGTCACTGGAGTCCATGCTAGGCTTTCAAGTGGTCAAACAGATGTCAGTCTACTCCAAAGACCAGTATTTTTATTTAAAATGCTTCTCTGAGGGCACAAACCAAAGAGTTTTCTACTGAGCTAGGTAATTAAGTGTGGAACTGGACCAGTATGCTCAGGAATGGGAGCAGTAACCAGCCTGTTGGCACCTGGTGTGTGGAAATTGGAGGTGTGTATGAAATACCCAGTAAAACTCAGGTAGTAATATGCTATAGAATGGACTGCAGAAATTGAAATGGAAAACTTGTGGGGCCCAAACTCCCCTGACTGCGCCTGCTCTGAGCTGAAAATACCAYCTCACTAAAGCTGTCTGCACTTGGACTTTAGCGGACCTGCACAGGTACAGCTTGCTGTGTTGATTTATGGTATCTGCAGTGCCAAATCCATCTTATCTGTTCTTGAAATTCATCTGATCCTGGGTCTCAGCTCAATAAGCTGTTCTGTACTCGGATAATTCTGCAGAGAACCAGAGACATCTTGTGCATCTGTAATACATGGGGGACTAGGAGTTGACTCTACTTTTGTGGAATTCAATTGTTATATGGAAACAGTTTAAATAAATGTGTAGATGTTTTGAAGACTCCTTCTTTAAAGATGCTAGTCATAAAACCGAAAGGTTTTGGGAACTGGTATTAAGTAAATCCCAAATTCCCATACACGGGACATGGTGTCTTTTTTCAGAAATGCCACTTGGAATAGTTTTTGAATTGGGGCCAGTAAACTTGTATACCCTGGAACATCTCTGGTATCTGAACTAGCATTTCAAATTATGTTACTAAGCTCAGATTAATTGGCTGTCCATGAACAGCTGTCCAACCAATTTCACACATGATGAGGTGAATAATTCCAACAAGGATGCAAAAACTGGCATGGAAGTAGGATACAGTCACTGCCAGCCTCATTGCGTAGTTCAGGGCATCCACAGTTCTGTGTGGTCATGGGCTGCTCACGAAGTATAGAGCTTAAAGTAGCCAAAGCAAACATTTAAAAGTTTTKATTATGGGTAAAAAGACTGATTTTGATACCTTGTTTGGTTGGAAAGGGGAGGTTTGCATTTTTTAGTATAGCAGTAAACAAATGCAGACTGTGGGAACAGAAGATGACTCAGAAAACACCAGCGTAGTCTGATGTTTGCATTATAACATAATAAATGGGTTGTTTTGTATGTATTTGAATGCACATAGGCAGAATGCAGATGAACCTAATAAAATTAGCCTAATCTCTGGAATGACAGCCTCTCTGCAAGAAAGAAAAATTGATGTTCGACTCACATGGAAAAGGAGATGTATCTTAATTTTGTAATGTTCTTTCCATGTRGAAGGGAATGATAGTTAAGATTTCTTTTTTAAAGAAGTGCTAGAGTTTTCTGTCAAATGATACTTTGTAGAACTCAAACMATTAAACACAAAAATAAATGCTGTCCTTTGTGAAGAAATGTGTTTGGGTTGGGGGGTGTTCTCCTAAAAGCTCATGTATTGATTAGTCATTTGTTTGATTGTTTTCAAACTAAGAAARCTGAAAAAACAGAAACAGGAAGGAAAAGGATTAGAATTGTGACAGTGTGTCAGCATTTTGGAGCTAAATCTGATCTATAAAGAAAGGAAGTATTTTTGAAGTTACTTTGGAGACAATAAGATTGTAGGGTTTATATCTCAACAGGAGGCCTAAACCACCTAATGCCGCAGATAGATACAGCTTCACTTTTTTCTTGAGTTCTCTTTCTTTCACCTTAGAAATTAGAATTATTGTTCCTGCCCAAACTCAAATGTCTTCTAATGTAGTCTGTGTTCCTCTGTTTGAATCCTATTGGGTTTTTATCCTGTGAAACAATTAAAAAATCTATTAATAATTTTAAGGTCATATTGTTTGAATTCAATTTCTTTCAATGCAGCAAAATTTAAAATAATTCAYATTTCTCTAAAGGGGCAGACTTTTAATTCAGGAGAGTGGTGAAAATTGACATTAGCTGAAGTTATGACAATGATGATTTATGACAGGCGAACATTAAATATTTTTTGTCTTCAACTAACATTTCTTATAATAATATCTCCCTGGAGTTGGTGCAATCAGACATCAAGCTGCTTCACTAATTCTTTCTGATAGAGTCTGGGATCTGGGATGCTAAAGAATTTCACCCAGCACAGCCTGGCTGTAGTGCCTTTCAAGCTGTGATGAATGTGTTGAGTTTTAATACCAATTATTGTACTTCATGGTCTCATTGGCTCTATTAATATTGCACTCACTGCTATTACTAAAACTTGTGATAGAAATAAATTGAGAGAGCATGACACCCAAGCATGTGTAGTTTGATTTTATACTATATACTTGACTTTATACTTCTTTTATTTTATGATAGTTTTGCTTTAAGAAAGTTTGGAAAAATATATAGATTTATTTAGTCATATCTTTTGAATATATACCTGATATATATTACGTTTTCCCTTTTTGCTTAGCAGTTGTATTCATCACAGGTTATGTGTGTTAGAGAAAACCAAACCAAGGTATAATTTCAGTTCGCAAAAYCTATGATACCATGAGGTATCCAGCCTGATTTATTCTATAGTTTAGCAATTTCAGTGCAATACCAATACAGATCCTTTAATTTCATTCATTTACAAGTGATGAGGATTTGACCCTTTGCMAGAGACAGCTTTAAAATGGCTTATCATATCATCAAAGACAAAGATTTTAATCTGAGAACCTATCCTTAGCTTTCAATTACAGAATGTATTGCTCTTGATATAATATTGGTGCTATAAAGTTCATTTTATCATTTTCAGATAATATTTTTTTTCCATATATGCTATAAACTCATAATTGCCTTTAGAGATCCCTGAAGAYCCAGAAACTGCAGAAGAATATTATAAAGATGAGTTTGAATCCTGTTCAGAAGACAGTGAAGAGGAGGAAGATACAGAATTGCCMCAGACTGTCTCTAAGACKAATCACCAGGTATATGTGACCTTTGAGAAAACGGTATACACTTGGTGTTCATTTTCCATGAGAAAACTGAGTTCCTTCCAAGAAWTTGTCCTACTGACATTGCTGAAATTTTATTTTTGTTTGGCATGTCTGTGTATATCAATAGCATGAATTAATTATATGTGTATTATAAGATATTGATGAGAAAGATTTTTGCATTGCTTCAAGATTAAARATAACACTCCCGTGAATGCTTTAAGGTAGATCATTGTCAGAAAACCTCCTTGTGACTTGAGTGAAATCCTCTCAAATGTTAGCTATGATTTAAATTAAATTAAAGTTTAAGGTATGCTTCAAGCATGAGATCCAAGTTCCTGCTTTAATATCCAGGAAACAGTAYGTACCTCTAGTTCCTGCCTATATTTTCTAGGGCAGTGTGGTGAACTATGAGCCTAAACAGCTAAAAGGCTTGWCCAGAAAATCTGTAAACTTTCCCAAGAGTCACAGAATGTGCCAATSAGGAGAAACTTATTGCTGAAAGGTTTAAAGTGGCTTTACCAGTCAAGGCTGCCACAGGAAAGCTGCAGATTGCAGTGTGAAGGTTGAGAATTATTGGAAAAGGCACCTAATTTAGATCTGATCAGAATGAGTTGAGATGAATCTTGTCTGCAGTGATCAAGTCTCAGTGAAATCAATAAATTTAAATGCCTGAGGCAGTTCTGAAAATGCACCTTCCTGAGGCATTCAGGAACTATTAATTTCTCCCATGGACCACCAGTTTCAAGCACGGCCTGTAGTGCCTCTGAATGGTATGATCTGGTTCTGCCTAGGAACACTTTATTCTGTGATCACATGCAAAGTTTGCAGAACAGGATGTGATGTCTTCTGCATTTCAGGGAACAAGCCAAGTAGACTAATACTCTTCACTAAATTATGTATAACTTACRTTTTTTGAAAAATTTTAACTAGTAATGGCCTTGAGATGTAGTTTTAAGGCAAAAATAAAGTGCGAGAAACCAGAACTCTAGTTCTGCCACAGTAGCAGGGGATCCTGAAACTGTCCCACAAGTAAAACCTGAAGTTTACTCTGAAACAGCTTCATTCCATCTAGACATATCCTCCTAGATTTCAAACTAAGCACATGGGATGCCTTAAAATTACAGGAGCAATTTGTGCAGTAGTGGTCTAAGGAAAATATTAGTCAATTGTAAAACCCTGGAATATCCTAGACAACAGGCTTTTTCAGTTTGCTGGGTTTATGTTTACCCAGAACACACAGACATTCAAAGAAACCATTGCCCAGACAGTCTACTAAAAGATGATCTTGGAAATGAATTACTGCTCATTTTCATCAGACTCTGAGACAATTTTTTTTTAACACCTTTTGAAATTTTCATTCAACTTTCATTGGTGGTATCATTAACTGTCAATCAATCAGTTGTGTTTTTGAACAGGCAGACTGCTGCTTAGAATTAATGAAGGGCAGAAGACAAAAATAGATTTCTCAGTAATGCAAAATAAATTAGGTGTTGGCATCCGGATGTGAGCGGCAACAGTCCCTCATGTTGCAGTGACTCAAAATTCTGTGATGGCAAGAACGAGCATGGTGGGCTGGAAGAGCTGTCCCACTGGCACCCTGCTGTTCCTATCCAGTCCCTGTGGCCCTGAGGCTTTGCTTTACCAGTACCCAGAGCACTGACCCTCTGTGAACTGGCCTGCACGGATTCACTGGGRAGCACCCCCATGACCATTTGCCTTTTGGAACTTCCTCTATCAAATTATCTGTGCTTTTCTCATGTTGACTCCAGCACCACAAGATATACAGTCAGTATGTTTCTGGGTATTGACACAATTAGCTTTTTTGTTTTTTGGGAAGTGCAAATAGGCAACTTTTGCTTTCTCAAGTGAAAAAYCCTGCCATAAGTCAGAGGTCAATGCAGATTGAACACAGTTGTGCAAATCTGAGCGCCTGTGTCTGAGCTCAACAGAAAGGCAGTACTGTGAGGGGAAATAAGCAAGCATTTTTAGGGAGTAATTGTCTAATGCAGGTTAGATAGAAAATGCAGGATGGTCCCTCTTTGGTGATTATAAAGGGATCTACAGTTATTAACATGCACACGACATCATTCTTCTGGATGTCAACAGTTATGTGAGATGAATCCCACTCAGAGGTAGGTGGGATCATGATCAATATTAATAATAAGCTTCAGATCCTACCAGAATAGCAAAGGTTTTCTTCTGCAGTCATTTACTTAATACCAAAACTCCTACTTCTATTTCTATGATGGGATTCATACTCAAACCCTTTCTTCAAAGGTACCTTAAATCAAGCTTTTGGAGATGCGTGCTAAAAAAGAAATCATTCCACTGCAACACAGTAAGGACTTGTCAGCTAATTTCTGCAAATCTCTTGAATTTCCAATCCCAAGATTGCTTTACTAGTTACTTCTGTGCAGAGAGTGCAGAAATGCTGCATCTGGTGGTGCCCTCTGGTGACCCCATTATTTCAAACAAGGATTAAAAAAAATTCCAATGTTCATGCAGTAGAATGGGGTCAGAAAAGTCATCTAACTGAACACCATATTAAGGTGCAAGATGTAGAAAGGGATATGAGCTGTTTATTCAAGCTATATTAGGCTCCCACAGATGTCAAGACAGACCGAGAAGTTGTGGCCTCATGTGGGATGTAATACCACTTAGGAAGGTAAAGACACTGAAATTCTGTCATTTTAAAGGTTTAGGATGGGAGTTGAGACAGCTTTTTTTTCTCACGTTGATACCATTCAATACAGCCTATCTGATTTCAGCTACATTGTCCAGCACTGGAGTTYGGTGTCGTTTGTTCTTTTCTTTTGGAGCAGAAATGCACATTGACAGAYATGAAACAGCAATTTGCCAATTTTTTTTCCAGACCTCTAGCTCTTCAAGCCAGTGGCTCTTTTCCACATGTTTTTTTTCCCTAGGAGAACCAGTTTCTAATTAGGGGGAAATCATGAAAGAGAATGACAAACTGTCTTAAAAAATATTTTAATATGTGATGCTTAACAGAGGTTTCATCTTGAAAAGTTAGTGTGCAATGAAGCTTCCWTTGGCTTTGATTTAGCTGAGATGCTAATGGATGCTCTTAACTGCAGGTCATCACCATGTTCTTTGTGTTTTTTTCTCACTAACCATAACTTCATTATTACAAAGTCTACTACTGTGATGCAGTTGGTTCCTATTTTCAAATTCTAAGTTGCTTCTGAGATTGTCAAGCCAAACAATCAACTGGCATAAACTACCGTAGCTTCAGCARTTTTGAGTGGTCTGTGTTCTGTGACCCCGATGCTTCACTGGACTCCTAACACACACCTTGGCATGGCCTGTGGCTGTTTGAAGGCTGTTTGTTCTGAATATGAAATGTGCAAGCATTTATCCACACCGATCCTTATGCAAGTCTCTCTTCTGGGCATCTGTCAGAGTCCCTTCTGTAGGGCTTTGCTTCCTCTGAAAGAAAGGAGAAAGATTAAAGAAATATATTAAATGAAACAGCTAAATCCTCTTCCAGTGTTAAACCCAAGAGGGAAAAAGACATGAAAGAGGTGAAAATGTATCTTTTGCCTCACAGCATAATGAGAAAAAAATCAGCTTTGTTGTCATAATTGGAATAAATATGATGTCCTGTTATGAGAAGTCAAAGGTTTGGGAATTACAGGCTTTATCCCATGAAAAAAGAAAAAGTTTTATTAAAGCAACAGTATTCTATATGGTTATTTGCTGTGCTTTTGTCTATCTGTAGATTTGTGGTTAACTATTAGTGATAATGAAAATAAAATTAAGTACAAAGTAATATTAGAAAAATTATTATAAATTTTTAGTTTTGAATGAAAAATATTTATATTTAATAAATATTTAAAGTCCTAAATGTTCTTTTAATAATTGTATTAGAAGTGAAGAGAAATTATATCTGTAATACTAAGTCTATCTTAATTCAATATTCAATATGTATTGTGTATATTAATGTATTTAATGCATTCTCTAGCATTTCCTGGCTGCAGAACTGGAAACCCTTGTGCTGACTCGGTCCATACAGGATCCCACAGGCTTCTCCAAAAGGGCAAATAGGCTCCTTCAAACCTCTGAGCTAGGGGGTTATCTGTTGCAATGGCCAACCACCTTCCAGACCTCAGCCTCTTTCAAATACAAGTCCATGAAACAACTTGGTGTGAAGAGTAGTTGGTTTGTGCTCATCTGTAACAGCTCCCACTCGCACCAGAAGGTCCCTAACCAGCTGGCAGTCATTGCCAACAATTATTGCTGTCCTGTTAAGCTGTACTGGCAGTTCCACAGTTCGAGAAATTTAGAATGAGCATTTTGAGTATGATTGTAGAGGAATATAAAGCAGGTTATCCATTGTAGAAGTGGACATAAATACTGTTTCTTTTTATTCCATTGTTTTAATTCTTACAGGCATGAGTGCTGAATATTTTTTTAAATATGTATTTTGGACATATTTTTTAGCAACGTCAAGGTTTTGACTGTCAGTTTCAAATAGTCAAGAAATGCTGTCTTGTCAAATGTGATATGGCAGCAAGTTCTACACACTCAGACCCCAAGTTTTTATTGGACTTTCATAAAATTGTGATGTACTTCCTGGACAAAAATCATTGCTTAAAGGCCAGAAGTTTAAATTTCATCTGTGTACACGAACAACATTTCATATGAAAGATATCATGGCAAAACTGTTAGCCGTCTGTTTGGTAATGGAATACTTGACATATAAAAATGTTAACATCTCCTCTTAATTAATAATTTTTCAATTAGTTGTTGTTACTAGACATGTAAATAGATGCAATTACATGAAATGTATGTATTAATTTGCTGTGGGCAGCTATAATAAGCGTAAAAAATTTGGCATGGTTAAAAACTATATAGTCACTTTTTTAATGTAATATTGTTTTAGATATTCTAGAACTAATTGATGATTAAAGGCAGGTATATTTTCAGAGACTGCCCACCACAGGAAATATATCTCATTTAAACTTCATGCATAGCTGTCCTAAATATGTGCATTCCACAGGGAATTTGACTTAAATAATTTTTTGGTTATAACATCATTCCAAAGCTTGGTGTTTTAGGTGAGGAAAACATAGAAAAAGTCCTGGGAAATGTAACTTCTTTTTAGTCTAGTCTTGATACTGCCTGTGATGATATGCTCTGTGTTTGTGGGATCGTACCTCTGGGACACAGCATTTGTATTTAAGATTGTGCTCACATTAATGCTATTCCTATTTTATTTATTCACAGGATAGTGATATGGAGGCAATGGTTAAGTATTTGGAGAATGTCCTGAATAASAGCTCATTGGGTAAGATGATATCTCTTCTTTAGATAGTAGCAATTATTAGCAGTCTGTATGCATCACTGTCCAACTATTTCCATTTTGCAACAAAAAAAACTCAAAAAATGTGATCTCCTTGATAATTACTTCCCTAATCTACTGCAGAGAAGTATAAATATGCCAAAAGAAAAGGCATAAGCAGATAAGTGCTCTTGTTGAAAATAAAGCCCATAAARTATGATAGTCAGAAGTGTAGAATGTTAGAACAAAAACTTTTAAAAACTTGGCTACTGACATTTGTTCTCAGGAGGACAATATTTGAGGATATGTAAGCTATTTTACAGTTTTTAGTCCTGGTAACAAWAAGAGAAAATAAATGAAAATATTTATTAAAAAAATTATCATCAAGGTTTGGATAATAATTTATGTTAGAGTATCTCATCACAGTTACAAAGAAATCAATGAGAATTTAAGTTTGCAATTTATTCCTAAAATCTCCTGCAAAATCGATCTATAAATTTAGCATTTGAAAGCCTGGGCCTCTTGTGGTCTACTTAAAAACTAGGAAAGAAAACTTGTGGGAAGGAAGGCCATTYACTGTGGCCACTGTCCTCGGAAGCCACTGGGTTGGACTGTGCCAGCAGCAGCCTCTGTGAGATGCATGAAAGGCCAGCTGAGTTCCCAAAGGCTCCCATGGCAACTGCACTCTCATCTAGCTGCTTCATTTGCTGTGGTTTGGTTGGGATAAACCTGACTTGGTATTATCAAAAATTACAACACAGGAGAATCCTAGGAAATCCTCCTTCCAAAGATAYTTCCAGTGCTGAGCTCTGTTTCACCCCTGCTTGTGAACATGGACAGATAGGAGAGAGCTAAAGAATAAGAAGGATGAAAGGAAGTCAAAATTGTGGCCATTATAGTCTTGTAGCAACTGTTCACCTTCTGGGTGCCGTTGTCAGGGAGACCCTCAGGACAGAAGGAAGAAACATTTTCTCTTCACACTTGCAGAAAACCCCCATCTTCAAATTCTGCTCTCATTTATTCATTTGCAGCATCATTGTCTGCAATGGTTTTGCAGAAGTTAAAATAGGGACAAAATTTTKCTCCGTGCTTCAGTATTTTATTATTTTAAATAAAGAGAGGAAYTGCCTTGAAGGCTTCTGAGAATGAACAAGAATATTAGCCAAAGACAAACAGTGGAGTTTTAAAAGCAATCTTAGTATTAGAAACTCCYTTATCTTAATCTTTTTCTTTCAGTATTAAGGACAAAAAGATGCCTTTTAAAAATTGTAATATTAAAGGATAAAATTGTACTTTTATCGTTTAGAAAATCTCCAACCAGTCTGTGCTGAAACTTATAGCCTTTCTCCAAGCAAAGGTAGTAGTTAGGTATGATTTGCTCCAAAGAAATACATGTGATAATAATGAGAGACAAWTCTTATTATCCCTTTTGTCTTTGTATGCTCCATGAGAAAGTTTAAACTTTTATTACTTTAAGTTCTTCCAACATCAAGCTATAAAGCTGCAGTTGGGGTCATTTTTATGTATTTGTTAATGTTCATTTATACCTTGCATATTCTTCACTGTGCTCCAAAATCACAGTACATCAAAATTTTCTGTATATGGGGCATTTTACTTAAGTTGCATACTTGCTCTCTTTTTCCATCCTAAAGCTAGTTATGTCCCCTTCCAGACCTGCATTTCTTTAACTGACCACTAGCACCTTGGYTGCAGCCATGGGATTCCCAATAAAAACCCATGCCTGTAGTCCTTTGCACCTCATCCTTTGTTCCCACTTTTCAAGGCACCTGCTGTTTGTACCAGGCTTGTACTTCTGTACATGAATTGAATTAAGTTGGTTATAAATATGTCTTTCTATACAGAATACGACTATCAGTCTAAAAGTGCAGGTTGTGTGTTACAAGAATAAGTAGAAATAAAACAGAATATCTGACAACGAAGTAATTAGAAGAATTGCTGCTATAGATTAAGCAATTAAATCAAAATTTCTGTTTGGACAGGWCAAGATCAGACAAAGCCTGAAGCCTTGCAGACTCAGTTCCAGGTGTGTGGCCTGATGTAAGCAGTGCCATATTACYGGGCTGCAGAGCTACAACATAATTTTAATGCCTGTTCCTGAAAGCAGTATGGATTTCATGGCAATAATAAGGCAGAGGCAGAAATCTGGCCAGGACAGAATGTCTTATGGTGTCTTTCATTATTAAAATATGGCGAGAATATTATGAGTCATTTCAAGCAGCTGTTAGAGGACAACCAAGAAGAGAAAAACTAGAACTTTTTTTTTATGTCAGCAAAGGCTGTGAAAAAAAGGGTGCATTAAATATACATTGTTTTTTCCACTGGTGAAATTTCTTTAGTATAAACCTTGCTGTTTGTAAAAGGACTTGGGAAATAACTGAGTTTTCTCCTCATGAGGTTCCACAGAGTCACTCCAAATGCCAGAGCTTTAGTATGGTACACAGTTACTTTTGTGCTATACAGGTCTATGTGGAATGCATTTGAAATAAGATATGCCATGCTGATAAAAGTTGAAAAATTGGGAAGATCCCAGAAAAGAACTGCAAAAGAAAAGGGAGTTTGAAAAACTGATTTTACAATTTACTAAATTTGCTTAGCATGAAGGAGAGGAAGGTTAGGGGCAGTTGGGTAATTTTGTAGTGTTTACGAATCAGGAAAACACATCTGATTCTTTCATTTTATATCTKGTACAAAAAGGCATTGTAGGATCTCATATGTAGCAGTGAAAGCTGAAGAAAATGAATCCGAAATCCAAACAGAAGTCTGATTCAGTGGAGATAACAGCTTCACAACACATCATGGCTTACCAAGAGATGCTTATCAAGAGATGTCTACCATTAATTCTTTGGTCATTAGCAGAAATTTTTTTGTAAGAATGCCTTTGGACTATAAATTATGAAAACTTGATCAGATAATGCACCTGTGAATAAATTCCTTTTTCTACAGATCCTCAGTGAAAACCTCAAACTGGTGCTCTATYACCTGAGAGGACAAAGATCTTTTGCCCTTTGCCCTGTGTTGTTCTCTGCAATATTGGGTTAGACACTGAGAGACATTTAGAAGGCCACAATACCTAGTTTTGAAAAGTCAGTACTCTTGTTGTTTCATTTGATTTTGTTTAATGGATCGAGAATGATATATTGGATAAAATATGCAAATAATTATCTGGTAACTTTTTGAAGCATAGCTCCTTGTGTGTTGAAATGTGGGTACACAAACTGCCTGAAGCTAGGTGCAAAATATGTTATTAATCAAGTAGCTTCTTCTAAGAAAATATCTTTGATACAGAAGTTAGTATAAATCAGCCTGGCAAATTTTGTTAAGGTATGCTGTAGCACCAGTGTATCAAGCTCTTTGTAGTCTTCACTGAGAACTCATTTTTTCAATAACTAACCACACCTTTGCAGCATCCTACAATCTTCAGTCCATGCTTCCCTGCATTAGCCAGAAAATCATATTAAAAAGAGAGGAAGATAGAGAGTTTGCACACAGAGATGAAGTTTTTCTTGGCCAATTGCCAATGTGTAAAGTAGACAAAATATGAATTATTTAGCTAGAAATCCCAGAAAAAAAAAAAAAAACAAACAACCTAAACCAAAACAAACAAGAAGGATGTCTTTAATAATGAAATGTCAGAGGAGAAGGAAATATTGTAGCAATAAATACAGTAAATCCACTAAACAGAAAGAATATGCTGAGTTCTTACTACAATGATATATCCTGTAATAATAGTAATGCCAGAATTTATCTGGTGCCTGTGGTTAAACGTACCCTTTTTAAGAGACTGCAAGGTTTATATTTTGCTTAGGCCATTGGTGCTCAGGGCATCAATTTTTAATTGGTTTCAAGGCACCAAAGCCCTACATCTGGACCTTAATWCTGTGCCAACTCAGRGAGGAGCATGCAACCCYGCAAATCATGAACATTGCACAGAGYCTGGGGTTTCCTCAGGGCTGTTCRAGGATGGTTGAATTTTCCAGGGYTRCTAAAGGAGCTGAATGCTTACAGACATACGTAAAAACATATGGATATGCACATGTGCTGTTACAGTAAATGATCAGGACATGTTTCTTGCATCAATAGATKAAATAATTGGTTGTCAGTAAGAACAAAATTGAGCTTGTCAATTTTCATCTTTTAAATTACATTAACTATACCTGAGTTGTAATACTTAGGCGTCAGAAAACTCATAGCGATTAGGTGTAGACATAAGCTAAGAAAATGTTTTTAAATGTCCATTTGTTTGTCCATAGCCAGCTAACAGAATCAGGAATTAATTTCTTTTGTGCTTCCAAGCTTCTGAATCCAACAGACACTCACTGTGAGTGATTCAGTAGGACACCTCACAATGGAAAGTTTTAATCTCAGTATTCAAATGTATGTGATCAGGATTTAGAATCATGTAAGACATAGGCGCTTAGCCCTTGGGAAAGCCATGACTGCACATTCCAGGGAGGCATTTGGTGTTACCTGAGGGGGTCTATACCAGCCCATAGAGGGAGGGTAGCTGCAAGTTCCTTTTGGCTGCATGCGATCTGTGCTAATGCAATCCAAACAAAGCCAAACCCCWGCTGAGTCCAAGCTAAAAGCCCCTGCTAGGAGGGGAGTGTGTGTTCATTCAAACAAGGCATTGTGTTAAAATGTTTGACTTTGGGCTTGTTCATGTCCCATGCCGAGCCCTCCCACGCCTGTTCAGARCTTGAGTCCTGTGTGCCACAGCCCACACATTTACACAGGATCTAATCCCACCCTGATGCATCTTCTCCTCATTTGGGAAGTGAAATCCTAATGCAGTTTGGAAGAATCTAAAATAGCTGCTTTGTTTAGCTTAACATACTGAAAGCTGAAACAAGATCGCTATTTCCAATTACAAAGAAATGAAGAGTGTGCAAAAGGGAAGGAAAGAACTTTGTAAGCCAAAGAAAAGGACTGGCACAGGAGGAAAATGAGCAYGAACTACTTGATAAAGAGGTTTTGTCAGGAAATAAGAGGGGAGATTTTAGTCACCAGCTCCCAGTGAGGCTTTGAAATTGTCTTTCAAAGGGAGCAGTCAGGGCAAAATGTTCATAAATTCCTTAGGAAAACCACAGACTTGTGTAGTGGAATGACTACATGAAATTGCAGAATATTTGAGCTGATAACCTTGACAGTCCTCTGTGATTCAGCATTTCTGTATTCCTGTGGATGAGTACCTCAGTTGTATGTGAGCCCCAGGTCCTGAAATATTGCAACCGCTCACAGGGCCTGCAAACAGAAAGAGTGGGCATGTGTGTTTATGCATTTGTGTAATTCTCACAAGTACATATTTACATATACAGGTATGTTTATATATATATATATTCACACATAAAAAGAGTACCTTTATTTGAAGGAGCAATGTTGTAAGTTAAATACTTCCAGTTTACAGTAATGGTCCAGCTAAAGGAGAGACTTGCCGGTTAGAAATGTTCTCTTAAAAGTACAAAAGCAATGGAAGAAAATGCATATTGTCWAAGCAAATTTCATGTTGTTGGATATTTTTCCCAATATTTTCCCAGCATTTCCTCAAGTGATTTTSCTTTCTGCTGTAATTCCCTATGTAATGGCACAGATGACAATAGTTGTTACAATTCTGGTGCCTTTAAGCTATAAACCTACTYGTCCCTCAGAAAGGAGTTGCCCTTAATGTGCATTTAATAATCTAATTMATCTTTAATTAATGTGGCACTGCCTTGTGAGAAACAGGAATAGTCTTCCTCCTTCTGACTGCCCTTGATTCTGCAATAGAGCTCAGGGGATGAAGGTGAATAAGGTTGTGTGTCTGTGCATTGATTTGTAGGCTCGAGGACTGTCACCGGCGTGTCTCCAGGGGTGCCCCAGGGATTCAGAGCTCTCAACAGTGCTATGGCTGAGACCAAGCTGAAACACATGAGGGAGTAAGTAGCATATTTATGTGTTACCCATGTGCAGGCAAAGAATATGGTTTTGAAACACTGCAAAGCACAGCAAATACAACCAAAAAACCCCTTCAACAAAAAGCAGTGGATGGTAAGGTGTTTACAGACTTGCCTACTCACCACCAGAGAGGATGAAGGTTGACCTTCACTTCTGATTGTTTTCTTGTAAGCTGCACAAACACTGACATTCTTCCAGKATCCAGTTTCCCTTCACTGCTGGCTGTGTCATTCTGAATTTCACTTTATTTATCAGCACAGCACATGCCTGTAAATCACCTGCAGATGTACAGGTCACCACCATGTTTGCTCCCTCACCCATACGTCATTCTTGACTGAAAAGAAAATTGAGTGGTTTGTTTCCCATGGTGATATGATGTTTTAAAGTAGACATAATTTCTGTCCTTGTCTGGGATTTTCAAGTGAGACAGAGAAATTTACATGGGAAGTTCCCTTTGAAACTCATTGTCTACTTGTTTTCAGCATTGCCAAAACCCCAGCTTTATTAATAAATGATTCAGTGTCTTAATAAAACAAAGATCTGTGCTTCCTTTCTAGAATGTACTGGTTAATGTATCTTGAGCCTTTGTCTTGATTCAATAATTTCTGGCCTTCCACATCCTAATTTAGGTGCTTATCTGATAATCGTAGTGATTATCGTAGTGTATTATTTCTGAACTCAAATATTCTTCACAATGCTGCAAGATTCAACTGCTCTCAGGTTATAAACTCTTTCAAAAAGGGCAAGTTTTCTGTTCTGTAGGTGGACAGTGCCAATTATGTGGTGGATGTTATTGGAATACAAATAAGTTCAAACAGTAGATACTAATAGTTATTTAAGTGAGTTCTCTGAAGAAAATTAGTACAATTCTGACAGCATTCATAGCAATCGCTATTTAAAACAAATCACTGTGTATTTCAGGAAAATGCCAATCACATTTACTCCAGATAGAAGTTCCTAGGTTTCATGTTATTTCAAGATGTAACAGCTCCCAGGGGTTCACTTCATGGCTTGATCTTCATTGTGCTACCTGTCTCAGGTCTCGCAGCCTTCTACTCCTATTGCTTTCCATTCTCTTTTCAAGGAAACTACTTACAAAAATAAATTAATGCATTGTGTTGTGCCAGCTATTTGCAAGGTGAGGTTTTTTAGTCAAAATGCCCACTAAACTTAGAGACTTCACCTTGTGTTCTCATAGTTCTGGATAAAACTTAAATACTTGAACTTCATGGTCATTGCTTTTAGGGCTGAGGTATGATTGAATCACTTCTTTCAAATTCTGTTATTCCAGTGCTGTTTCATGGTTTCCCAGCTTGTTGTGACTCACATTATTGTCTTTTMTCCAAAATATAATGTGACCTTTTCATTTTCTGAATATGTAAAGGTGAGAAATGGCTTAATTTCTTGGAAGGTAAAGTGTTAAGGAACAAGTGAGTGAGCACAGTACCCAGCATGTATGTACTCAAGGAGATCCCTGTGAGCTCTGACCCATGGCCAATCTRCACACAGGGCACAGTGGGGTTTTCAGTGGTGAAAGGGAAGCACATCTGGCTGTGAATCAATACATGAAGCCACAGCTGCTCTGCTCATCCCTCAACACACTTCAAATGATGTTTGCTGTATGTCATCCACACAGCAGTGCCACCTAAGCAATGCTAATATAATTTAGACTTGTGCTATTCAGTTTTACTCAGATAGATGCAGATTTTGCGGGGGTCTTCCAGATGATAGCTTTTGATGAGAGACAATGTGGGGGATTTSTCTCACAGAAACTGAGTGGCTGGAATTCCTATAAGGAAAGAGACAAGCAGGGCAGGGGAGATAATGTGGAAGTGCAGTGAAATCTGCTTGGGTGTCGAGTCACTGTAGAAAGAGGACTATGAAGGTTTGGAATTTGTACTATTTTCAGATGTTGGGAGCAGTAGTTTCTGATGAGGGAGACTCCTATGTCATGAACTGCCTGTAAAGAAACTTCGTGCCCATGCGTTACAAATGACGTTATTGGAAGAAAGTCCCAGTGGCTCTAATAAAATGGTAAATTCATGTAAAATAACACAGGGTTTAACACCAAAAGTGCCTTTTAGCCATTTCCAATTGACACGTGAATAATGTGGGCTTGCAAACCACTGTAGCWAGACATTCACTTGACAAGATGTTAAGTGTTCATTGCTTGAGTTACTGCAGCTTGCTGCACTAAATGCCTTMTTTGACTTGCTGTGTATCAGAGCATCAATTTAGGAGGTTTCTACAGTATTCTTATGCAGGACTTGACAAGGGTACTTGTGACAGGGAAGCTGTTCTAAAAATCTTTACAGGAATATAGAAGGAAGCCAATGATATTCTTGAATATAGTAGGTAGGGGTGCTTGGTCTCCTCCTCAGTGAAAAGAAATGCCTCTTTTCACTACAACCCCTGAATATTTCCCCTGACTTTTTCTTTCCAATTAACATTGCACTCTCTGCTCTTGCTGATCACATCCAGCATCAATGTGAATTGCTGTCCTCTCRGTAAAAGTCATGATAAAATCATTTACTCCGGTGACAACAATTTCTAGTTTGTTATAGTTATATCAGAATTCATTATAAAGCTTGTAACAGCAGAGATTTAACTTTATCTTTCAAGCAGAGATCCTTCTCGCCATAAAAATTTTCACTTCAGTGCTAAGCATTTCAATACTGGGATCTGTAGTGTTGATAAGAAATCTCAATTTTTTGAACCAATTCCCCTGCAAGTTATGATTATGTTCCTTCCCAGCCCCACATGCCAGCAGCGAGGAGTCAAACAAATAGAGAAATCAGAGTTGAGAGATTYTTATTCCTTGTATTGGGCTTTGAAACTGGGGAATCCTGTTAGATGCAGGAAATGGGAGGAGCCATTTCTGGCTATTTTCTGTCCTGCCTACCATCTAATCATCATGGTGGTTCCCATCCTTGATGATACTCAGTAACTCGGTGCATGCCAAGTCAGGGAAACATTACTGTCAAATGCGACCCAGAGCCAATTTATCTTCATGGAGCGATCCATGAAGACAAACAAATGACTCTTCCCCTGKAGAGACTTTCCAACTATGCATCTCAGAAGAGAGCCATGCTGCTCTTCAGAAGCAACTCTTCAAGCCAAAGCATTTTTCTCCTGTCAGATCAAATTGGAGTAGCACCTATGAATCTTTTTCCCCCCAGGGTCCACACAAAAAACTTAGTACAGATAGTTTTGTTCTCCTTTGTGGAGATATCCATGAATATCTACAATGAGTCATTTTAATAGCCATGAACTTTAATACGCAGTTTAGAATTCAATAAAATGTATGGCAGTGAAAGGAAAAGGCTTTTATGCCCCAAATTTTAAGTAAATTAAAATCCTTTAACCCAGCAGTAAGCACCTCTTAGTCAGTCCCCAAAGTCTTACACACAGCAGCATACCATGATCAGGCAAAAGACTTCATCATCCCCTGCTGAGTGTAAGTAAAGCAGTCTTTCAGAATCAAGAAGAAAAAGCATTTGGTGACATTTTTATTCTGCTCCTGTGAATGCTCATAAAACCACTGGTTTAGACTCATGAGCAGTATGTATACGTGCTCCTTGAGCTTGTGATGTTGCCATCAAATGCATTGGTTATCTTAAAAATTCAGGAAGAAAGGTCATTTTGAGGTCATTCTGTAGGCACTGGATGTTCTTTGAGATAAGTAGTCCTAAAATGYCTAAAGTATAGAAGACTTTCTATACATTTATTTCTGCAATTTTTTTKAATTATTGCAGTAAAGAAAGAATTTACTTGAGGTAGTATTTCAATATATGTGGATTGCAACTTTCTGAGTCAGCTGAAACTGGTTTTGTTATTAATCTCATTGAGGGCAGCTTTAGGTGAAGACAAAAGCAACAAATGCAGAAAAGCTAATTGCCTTTTAAGACTTCCATGAAAAATGTTCTTAGTGACCTTTTGATTGCCGTTGACTGTCACACTGAATGTGTCATGATGCTTGAGGAATAAGATGTCTTTTCACAGACAAAAGATGTGTTTGTAAAGAAACTTTACTGACACAGTCCGAGCTACATTTTTTGCAGATGAATAGAGTACTCTTGTAGGTATTCATCCTGAAATGTTTTTTGAGCATTGAATTTCCTCTTGCACTCACCACAGCGCTCTGTCCAACACTCCATTTTCTGGTAATAATTTTTGTCTGGTGATCCCAAGACATCCTATAACATAGGACAGCATAACTATAGTTTTAATCATCTCATGGGCTTATTTTTATTTACATATCCATCCTCCTTGTCACAGTTTCTCACACCTTGTTTTTAAAGGAGTTCCCAATGAGCTCATTACAAAAAGACATTAAACATCTTAGTCTGTGAGTTTCTCTTTCTTTTACTGAAAATCTATTTTAAGATAATTGTACCATTATATTCCAGACCCAAACTTGAAGAAAGTATTTTGGGTTTGCTGTTTGCTGTTTGCTTTACAAGCAAGTGAGAGTACAGTAAACTAAACGGGAACACTGGGAGTTTGAACCTGCCTGTGTATGACTGAGCTGAGATATTGGTTCTCGATATCTGTCAGGGGCAAGTGAGTGAATGCTGCTGGCTTGGGCATCATTGCTGTTCCAAGGCAACAACTGAGACAGAAAGTGGGATATGGTGAATCCTGGGCTCTACGTGCCTAAGAAATGAAGGTGGGAAAGGCAGTGGTTCTTGCTCAGAAGTGTAGGAGTCCTCTGCAGCAGAAGCAGCAGTACCCCCTCAAGGCTGAAGTTGGAGCTGATGGTCTAATTCCTCAGGCATTTTCCACAGGTCTTTATTCAGCTTCTTCCCACTGTTCATACTCTTCCCCTTTCTGTGACAAAAATGGGCTGCTTCTCTTGTTTTTGCATTATGTCTCACACTGCTCCTCTCCATCCTACGTCCTAGGATGGGAAGAGCACATCACCTGCCAACACCACAAWTTCAGCAGTTCTTAGCAGCTTTGCATTTGTTATGGTGTACTT